AAGCTAAAACTATACAATGGAAAAAAAGAAAGCATCTTCAACAAATGGTGCTGTCATAACTGGATGATGGCATGTAGAAGACTGCAGACAGATCCATAACTATCACCATTCAAAAAACTTAAGTCAAAAAGGATCAACATAAATTCAGCCACACTGAAACACTTAGAAGAGAAAGCCGGAAGTACCATTAAATGAATTGGTACAGGAGACTGCTTCCAGAATATAACACCAGTAGCAGAGACACTGAGATCCACAATTAAAAAATGGGACCTGCTGCAATTGAGAATCTTCTGTAAGCAAAGGACACAATCAACAAGACAAAACAGCAGCCCACAGAATGGGAAAAGATGTTCACCAACCCTACATCTGACAGAGGGCTGACCTCCAAAATTTACAAAAAAACTCAAGAAGCTAGTTTCCAAAACAGGAACTAATCCAATTAAAAAGTGGGATACAGAGCTAAATAGAGAATTCTCAATAGAGGAGTCTAAAATGGCTGATAGACACCTAAGAAAGTGCTCAAAATTCTTAGCCATCATGGATATGCAAATCAAAACAACTCTGAGATACCATCTTACTCCTGTTGTAGTGCCCAGATTTTGGGACCCCCAAAAGAACCCACCATAACAACCAGTTGACCAATCAACACAGGGCAAACCCTCCAAGCCTAGAGGCACACCAATCCTGAACCTGTGCATACCCCTAGACACTCCCCTTACGCTGCCCTATAAAGATCTGTATGCAGCAGCTTCGAACTGTCTTTGCTAGCCATCCACCATGGTGGGTGGGTCAAAGACCCGAGCTAACATGGGGTTAGCTCATTAAACTACAATAAAGCCTCATGCAATTTGCATCAAGCTTTCGACTCCATTCTGTGATTGGGGTGGCCTCAGTCCTGGGCTAAGATTCTGGAAGCCTGGGCTTTCCGAGGGTCTTACAACAGTTAAACAATGAACTGAACTCCTTGTTCTGGACAGCTGTCTTCAGGACTGTGAATGAAGCCAGCCATATAGTCCTGGGTCTGATTCTGAGTGTGGGTGTGTGAACTAGGCGAATCTAACTACCCAAAGACGCTAATGATGAGACAGGAAACACAATATTATCTCAGGAGGGCACCCAGCTGATACCAAGAAGCCATGGTTTATAGAAAAGTCCACTTAAATAGTTCTCCAAGGGCAGAGGCAATACCAGAAAGCATCTTTTATGATGTATATAGCTGATATCAAGTGACTCTATTAATTCAAGCTTCACCAAACAGTTCCGGGGCATGTAGACAGAGTTCATAGCCCAATGTTTAGGCCCATAGAGATGCAAACTAGGAGGCATTCTCCACTGAGGCTATGCTATTCAACAGCAAATCAGCTAGCATCTGCAATACAATGCAGACTGGAGCTCCTGAGTTACTGGAACCAGAGGTTTTTGGACAGCTCATTCTCTGCTCCACACAACTCCTGGAACCCAATTGAAGAGAGGGAGGAGTGATGAGCAAAGGGGTCAAGACTGGGATGGTGAAACCCACAGAAACACCTGACCTTAACAAGGGAGAGCTCTTGGACACCAGACTGATGAGGCCAGCATGGAACTGATCCAGACCCCCTGAACGTGGGTGTATTGAAGAGGCCTTAGCAATCTACTGGGCCTTGTGTAGTAGATCAGTATTTATCCCTGGTGTACGAATGGACTTTGGGAGTCCATTCCACATGGAGAGAAACTCTCTCAGCCTGGACACGAGGTGGAGGAGCTAGGCCCTCCCCTGATGATATGACAGACTTTGGAGATCACTTAGGGATCTCCGAACCCTCCCTGGGGAGCAGAGGGAGGATGGTGGGAGCTGGGGGTATTGGTGGGGAGAGGAGGAAGAGGGAGCTTGGATTGACATGTGAAGCAAACTTGTTTCTAATTTAAATAAAAATATAAAAAATACGTTTACAGAAAGTGAAAATGCAAAAAATAAATAAAAAGAACTACAGACAATAAAGGGAAGTTGAGGAAAGCAGAGGTGACTTCCTCTGGGAAGAGCACAATCATTGATTGTTTAGTGCTAAACTGTCAGCTCTGCAAACTTAGATACAAGTAACATTTCCTGGACTGAGAAAGTTATATTTAGGAATATATATATGTATATATATATATATATATATATATATATATATATATATATTTTATATGTGTGTGTGTGTTTGTGTGTGCATGTATGTGTGTGTATATATATGCATGCCTTAAGAAATAGTGAAAAAAGAAGCCATGAATTTGAAGGTGGTTAGGGGGGGCTTATATGAGGGTGTTTGGAGAAAGTAAAAGTAAGAGAGAAATGTTGTAATCAAATAAGTATCTCAAAAAATTAAAAAACAGAGTTCTATCTAGAGTGAGGTGGTGGTTGCATAAAATTGAAATGTAAAAATTACCACTAAGATGGTTTATGGTCTGTGAATTCACATCACTAAATTATTTTTCCTTCCAACATTCATACTAGGTTACACATTATTTGTGTAACTTTTTAAAGATATAGCTATCTTATATTAAATGCTAATAACTTGTTAGCTTTCTGCAAAATAAATTTACACTTTGCATTCTATCTGATTCACTGTTGTTGCAGGTAAACAGTAGGAAGTATCATTAATATTCATGCTGTCATAAGTGTCTAGAAATATATGTACTCATCAAAGATTTCTAATAATTTATAGAATATTATGCTATATAGTTTAATATCTCATATTAAAATACATAGATTTTTGAAAAGTGGTTACTTCTGAACTCATAAAATATTAATTTATCTAAAGCTCATTTTATTCTTTAAGTATAATGTTTTTAAATATTTTAATCTTTTGTTTTTTACTTATGTTATCAGTTGAATAGAAATGTTTATGTTTGCTTTATTGCTTCCTGTCCTTGTCTCTCTGAAATGACTAGCATGTAAATTATTGTCAATTTAAAGACTATATTATTATTATTATTAGTAGTAGTATTATATTATAATATTTTTGTTCTATATTTACCTGTTATATATTATTATAGTATGTTATATTTATAATGCTATAGTTATATTATTATAGTTGTAATAATATAGGCTATACTTCTAATATTATTTGTATAATATTTTTACATCAAAATTACTGATCATGATCAAAGTATACACATCAGCTAATAAAAGTTTCTCTTTTGTGAGCATATATGTGTTCATGTACTTCATCTAATTTCCTAAGTATTAAAAGTCTATTATTAACTAAAGAGAAGTGCCTTCATAATTAGTGATTAAAATTTAAGGGATATATCCCATAGGGATTATACCTCATACATCTTCTAGTTAAAATGTAACAATGTAACTAGTTCCTGCCCAGTAACAAATTGAAGGCTATAGGAAAAGTCTTAAGTTGTTGATCTTCACTTAGAGACCATTTTTTTTTTTCTCACTACTTAAAATACCTACTTTACTTAGAGAGATGGTTAAGCTACTAAAATTGTACTGTGGTCTTGCCAAAGATCTGAAGTGGTTCCTAATTCCCAAAACATGTTGGTTACAAACACCTGTAATTCCAATTTTAGGGTATATGATAACCTTTACTCTTGTCTTTGGTCACTGTTATTCACATGAACATACCACCATAAAAATAAAAATTAAAAATTAAATGAACAAATCCATGATGAATTGTGTTGTCAGATAGTGTTTCAAAAATGTGTCCTTTGCCATTGAATCAAAAGAGTTTACAAACTATTGGCCAATTACTAAAAATTAGTCTTATAAATTTTAATAGTAACTTTTATATACAATGTATACTAATTCTGTATAAGCTGTGTGGATTTTAGGATAGAAATGTGGTTCAGGCAGGGCCCAAGTAACTGATATAAGTGCCCAAAGACCTTGCTCAATATACACCTCAAGGACAGCAAAGTTTGATTACTTACACATGTTATAAAGAGTATTATATGTATTGATATTTTCACTTTGATTTTTTTTGCCACAGAGAGATATTTTAGTTCAACTAAGTACCACTCAGATGATGTTGTGTTTATTTGGCTGGCATATCCACAGTTACAGGTAAAGCAAAACTTAGAGAAATTCCTTTAGGAATGCTATTAGATTTAATTTTAAAATCATCTTTTATATACCAGATTGACCTCAACTAATGACATGGCAAAGACTGATCTTGAAGTTCTGATCTTAGTGCCATCACATTACAATGGAAGGATTTTCATTCCACAGACATTGTATCATGTGACTTTTATACAGATATTATTTTCTGTATATAAAGAATACAGTTATCTATCCATTAAAGTGAAAATGTTAGTGAGGAATTATGATTAAACCAGTAATAGGATAAAAGTAACATAATAGATGCTTTAATAGAGAACTCTATCCATGTACCAAAACTTACATAACCATATGGTGTGAATTGAACAAAATAAATGGTGGATTGAAATTAATTCTTGTAAAATCACTTAATATATTAAGCTAGTAAGAACTATTGGGCTTTTATATGAAAATAATGCAGCAATGAGAGATCAGAGCATTGTATCCAGGTAGAATATGGGTAGATGAATGCATTGATATGAATGAGAACTTAATATCTAAGCAATACATTTCACCTCTAAATAAACTGATGAAGTTTGATTTTCTATGAACTTACAAAGTGCGAATGTATTAAAATATAACAAATATACTTGTGGAGAGTAAAATAAAGACACATTAACATTGAATGATTTATTGTAATAGTCAAATATACAATTAATTTAAATCCTCATGACATTTCTTATTCTCTTCACTCAAATACAGACTTTAAGCCAGTTAGTTCTTCTGTTGTCTTTTCATTCTAAAACAATGCTTCTGTGCTGCTCTTTTTATTTATTTTTAATGTATTTTCATCACACACACACACACACACACACACACACACACACACATATATGAGAGAAACAGAGAAAGGTCATCTTCTACTTTTCCCATTTTTGATACTCATTTAACTATTATGAATTACTTGGATACCTTTTAACAATATAGGAATCTACAAGACAATATTGAGTAGCTTGTCCACTGAATTTTTAAAGGCATCTTTTACATCTTTGTTCCTCAAGCTGTAGATTAAGGGATTCAACATAGGGATAACCTGGGTGTAAAAGATGGAAGTCACTTTATCAGCATCAAAAGAGTGAATGGACATAGGCTGCAAATACATAAATATCAAAGTCCCATAGAACACAATAACCACTGTTAGGTGGGACCCACATGTAGAGAAAGCCTTCCTTTTACCCTCAGCTGAGTTCATCCTAAGAATAGCTGTAAGAATGAACAGATAAGACAAAATAACTATCAGAAGAGAAGAAAGCAAATTAAAAGCTGATAAAATTAAAATTATCACCTCAATTTCATGTGTATTTGAACAGGCCAAAAATAACAAGGGAAGACCATCACAGTAGAAATGACTGATTACATTGTGGCCACAGAAGGATACAGAGAAAATCTTTATGGTAAGTAGAAGTGAGACAATTATACCATACAGATAAGGAATAGTGACTAATATCCAACATACTCTTTGTGACATAATGACAGTGTACTGGAGTGGTTTACAGATGGCAACATACCGGTCATAAGACATTGCAGAGAGAATAAAAAATTCACTAACAATGAACATATTAAAGAAAGATAACTGGATAGCACAAAAATAAAATGATATTGTATTTTGATCTACAAGAAAATTTCTTAACATTTTGGGTCCCACAGCTGTAGAATAACCAAGATCTGTAGTAGCTAGGTGTCTGAGAAAGAAGTACATAGGTGTTTGCAACCTCGAATCCATCAAAGTGAGGATGATCATGCCAAAGTTACCAACCAGTGAGATCAGATAAATGATGAGGAACACTCCAAACAATGGTGCCTGTAGCTCAGGGCGGTCAGTGATGCCCATCAGGATAAACTCAGTCACAACTGTGAGGTTGTGGGTCTGCATCTTAGCTCATCAGAAAGCGTCTTATGAATGGAGGTGCCAGTGTCATCAGTAGTTTCCAAATATACCTGATGATTTTATTTTGGAAACTTATATAAATAATATATTTCTAATAAAACACTTGAATATGAGTCCATCTGTACCAAAAAAGATATACAAGTTCATTACTTCACTGCTTTTAATAATTTTCTTTGCCAAATGAAAATAAACTATCACCTTCATCTCATCATTATAATAAAGCTATGACAGGTATTGTGTTCTTTTGTCAAATATGTATATATATATATATATATATATATATAATTTAAAATTATATATCTGATAAACCTTGATGGGCAGACTCATTTAGAAATGTAAATGTATTACAGAAGTGAAAAGCCAAATCAATATTTAAAAATTGTTGATTGTGGAGTTCCACATACTTGTGTAAAAATTTTCCTTTCTTTTTTTTTATTTTGGGTACAATTAATGTTACATTTAGACATTTAAAGATTATATTTTTGTACTATATGACATTTATGTCTATTATAATACAGATATGTACTTAGAGTTTTCAAAACATAGAAGATTGTAAGTACATGTGTAGGTATGTAGAATCCTAACGCATATAGATTAAACAGCCTGAAATATCATAGCATTTAGTTAATGTACTATATACATATTAATTATCTTTATTTGAAGAAGCAAAACAGCATGCACCTTGTCCTAGTGTATAGAAACAATCAACTTGAAAAATAATTTAGTATGAACAAAATACTGTCTCAGCATATATAAATAAGAGGACTTTGTACTGTTCATTAAAAAGATGATGGGAGACAAAATGTTTCAGGGAGTCTGTGCTCCCTGATCATAGTTTACAAATACGATGATCACAGGAATTTTAAATGGTCACTGATTATAATAACATCCCTGAAAAATATTTCCTTATACATGGATGTGTGTACCCTTCAGGATAGGGACCTATAGTTTTGGTTAGAACTAAAAAGATGAACAAATGATAAGATGGTCATGAAATACATTAGAAATACTGGCTACCCTAGTATCAGTCTTTACCACACAGTGATAAAATTTATCACTGTTCATGTTTAGGCTTATAAATGTGTGTTAATTTTTAAGGTGTTAAAATTTTGGTTTAAATTTCTTTCATCATATAATTTAATCTTTCACTGAGAGAGAATATGTGTTATAACTCAGACATATATTTATATAACAAATTAGATACCTGTTATAGCTCAGAACTGTTACAGAAAAATATGACACAACTGATAATATTATCAAACAGTTTGTTATAATGGATTATATGATGTGCTGTCAAAATACACTTTTGATGAATGGTTACCATATTTTAAATATAACATATTTTAAAAAGTTTACTGTTCCTTAGTGCATATGTTTTGATGTGGTTTGCAAATGCCACAGTGCAAAACAAAATGATGAATGTGGCATTTGTAATGATTCTTGGATATGACAGAAATCCCTCCTGTTCTTTAACAAAGATCGTCTTCCCACTATGCTACAGGACAGAGTGCATTATCTCTGTACTCAGTGAATATACATCTAAGAGCCTCCTATTCATCATAGTAAAACTAACAAGAAATAATCAGCTATAAATATTGAAAAACGAATGTTTCAATATGTTCTGAATAGAAAAAGGAAATAAATGGGACACAGTAGTGAGAAAGGACACCTTGTCCCTTATTTGGAGACACAACAGTCTCTGAATACAGGGCAATGAAATAATTTTTCAACATTCGGTTTAAAGGTGATTTATTTATATTTCCAGGTTTGCTTGAACAAGTGAAATCATGCAACTTCTAATCTGTTGTCTGCTACTTCCCTCTATATGTGTAGTGTTACTTTTATAAAAATATAATTTTATCATACTAAATATGAAAAAATCATACCATTAAAACAGATAAATAGGTCTATAAATTCTAGAAACCATCTACTCTTTTTCTATTGCTTTGATTTACAATGATAACAAACTAAAAGAATAAAATAAGGAGAATATTAATTTTTCATCAAGAAAAACACTTGAATCTTATTTTATACTAATCTGTATAATTTAGTGTGATCTAGCACAAAATTTAGAAATGTGTCATTATCCTAAATCTACTACTAAGCGTTGTCTTACTCTCTACTAATTTGTAATACCTATAATTTGAAGAAAAGTGCATTTCCATCAAGACAGGAACAGGAATATTTCCAGGGATAGTTCAGCTATTAAATGGTGATTTTGCTAATCTGGGAGACCTGATTGTCTCTCTGGAACCCACATAGCAGAAGGAGGAAACTAACTTGTACAAGATAGAAATCTTACCTGCCACCTTTTAAGGCACCAGAACCTGAGGCCAGCAAGGCTACAGGCCCTTGAAGAGAATCTACTATGATGACTCTCCTAAGTGGAAATTGTTCTAAAAGACCCTTAATGACTTCCACACATAGATATAGGGATCACACAAGACCCATCATAGGAATAAATTTTTGCAGTAAATGGTGATCAACAGATACCCACAAATGCTCAGTGTGCAGAGAACAAAAGACTGCAAAGTACTCAACATTAAACGTGATATCTACATCATGTTTGTCCTTGCTAACAAGGCTCTGGCATCATCCCAGAAGACAGTTGTTGATCTGAAGGAATTGTAAGCATCAGGAGCAGTGTGTGATTATATCTAATTAGTGTTTTCTAGCCACAAAAGGGCTATTCTGCACAAGAATCAAAACTGGCTGTGACTGCATGCAAAAGAATTACAAGAAATAAAGCCAGACAAAAATTAAAGCATGGATAGTGTGGTATTGAGAAAGTTCCAACCCTACCTGAGACAACTATTGATGTTTATTTATTTTTGTTGAGCAACCCAGAGTCATTACTACCCGAGGATGTGCCCCCTGAGGGATTATCCATACCCTGTTGCATGCAGATTTTAAAGGTTTATTAAATGTATTCTTTGTATTAATACATAATAAACTAGCTAGTTTAACATATCAAACATAAAAATATTTCTATATTTTATATACATTCGTGAATACCCTTACTTTGAAGTGTATTTATTAATCAGGAAAATTAGAGTCTTTAAAGAACATTGTTATTATTCTGAATGCAGTTAATTAAGTTTGTAGATAATTGTTCTTTGTCTGAATTGCTAGGCAGTACACTGAATAAATCAGAATAAGATAAATATGTGTTCCTTGCATACTAAAGTCAAGGACTAACATATTTACTAAATAAATGTGCAAAACAAAATAAATACCAATTTAATCAAGAGATTTAGATTTCAGCTCCTCCACACTAATCCCTCATATATTCTGCAGTTCACTCTTACCCATGGAATAGCACATGCAGGTTTGAATATACTATGAATGCCTCTAATCACCTTGTTTATATCTACTTAAACATCAGTGATAAAATACACAAGAAATTCCCAAGAGGGATTATGTCTAATTTATTTTCTGGTTAAAAATTAGCGAAGTGAAAATGTGCTGAATGTTTGGAAAAGAACACAAACAAATAAACACACAACAGTACTTCAGGAATGAAGTCTTTTTTGATGTTGTTCACTGAGACATTTTGAGCATTATTTAAAACACTTACATCCTACTGCCAAGATTATTTGTGACATTGATTTGTTTTTAACACATGATTTGGTGTTGTCTTCCTTTATGTTCAAACTAATTAAAATATTTTTAAACTGAATATTTTATTTAGTTTTTATAGCTAATCACTTCCTGTTTATTTAAATCTTGCATTATATATTTGGTTAGGAGACCATGAGATGTTGTTTACCAAAGACTGCCCAAGGGCTTCATTCTCTAGTGCCAGGAATGCCAATGTTTAATTATTTATATGGATATTAACACTATATTTTATAGTTTACATTATCACACTGGTGATAATTTTCTTTGCAGCAAACACTTCCAATGTTATGTTTGGTTCCACGCATCTAATATTGTATTAGCTTGGCTTTGGTGTCAAAAACATGAATGATTATCATGCAAAACTTAAGCTATTTCTTTATGAATGATTCTGGGCTTTGTTTTTTTCCAAGCCATTTGATGTAGCATAGATTGACCTCAGACTATTTAGCACATGCTAGCACACAGTGCTCCTGACTCCACAACCCAAACAATTATAGGGATGGCATTTCATTACAGACCTTACAAAGAATATAATTTCCATTTAAAAAGAGAGCATTAAATCATAAAGTAAAAAGAAATGGAAAATAAGGAATTAGGAATAGTCCAATAACAAGACAAAGGGTGTGGAAGCTGTCATAGAAAATTCAAGACAATTAACATAAACACACACACACAAACATACACATACACACATGCTCTGAGATACATGATATTGGATGGTAAATTTAATTTAGGAACTATTTAATCATTAATATAAGACATTAATAATTGTTATTGCAACCATATAGGATGTGATGTAAAAGAAAAGTGATATGAAATCATTATGTAAGTTTCCCTGTGGAAAGCCCTTTCTGTGTTCTGATATGAGTGGAACCTAAATATCAAAGTGATAAACTTCACTTTTCTGACATGATTATCAAAAACATTTTTTTTTCATTTTTCAAGACAGAGTTTCTCAGTGTAGCTTTGTAAACCAGGCTGATCTTGAACTCACAGAGATCCACTCTCCTCTGCCTCACAAGTGCTGAGATTTAAGGCATCACCACTACTGGCTGATCAAAAATTTTAAACACAGTTTATAGAAATGTATATGGATACCAAATGCATTTAAATACTAAATATTAACAATGCATTTTCATATAATTAAATAGATAAATACACAAGGAGAGTTGGCAAATCTATTGTAAAGTTCAATTCACAAAAGTAATTTAAATTATCTCATACACCTGGCTCTGTCTTCATTCACACACAGCAAACACACTGTTACCATGTTTAGGTTTATACAACTTAAAAGGTGCTACTTCATTTCTTCAAAACTTCTTTTTATAATGTCCACTCTTCAGAGAATCATTTGACTTCACTAT